TTAATTAATTAATTAATTAAAATTAAAATAAAAAAATAACTGGACACCCGAATGATGGGCAGTATATGTATATGACTAGAAAAAATAAAAAAAATAAAAATAAATCTAATAATCCTTATTAATTATACCTCGTTAAGAATATTATGAACTTGAAGATTACTGTTCATCATGAAACATTTTCAAGGGCGAACTTGTACTAGTCACAGACTCYGTCAAAAATTTACATTCATATTTTATTCCAGTTTAAGCTTTAAAGTTTAAAGTTTAAGCCAAATTAAATTTCGGACGATTTCCTTACTAGTCCTCATTAAGAAAATTGTGGACTTAAGATATAAAGTCTTTCTCACAAAGCCTTCATTTTTTTATAATGAAAAATCCCTGTCTAGTTCCATTACGTAATGTCCAAAGCTGGCTAGTATGCTGAGGTCAATATCATAAAAACACGAACTTTCCAGTAAATTATTTATTTTTCCGTTATTCGTCTTCCAGACTGTTGTTCCAGACAGCGACACCACGTACTTCTGCAAATCTTATGAGTTCCCTCAATATTCTACCAAGAAACATGTCATTAAGGTACTAAATAGATTTAAAAAAATARTAAAATCATGGGAATAAACTGATTGACATTTCCACAGAGTACATAGCTCTTTATTCGAATTGGGGCACTGAATTCTAATTAGCCTACGTAGCCAGGCGTTCCTTGTGGGTTTTGGGGGGGGGGGCTTGGGGAGGAGAGAAAAGGAGAGAGAGCTCTCTCCTCTTCTCTCCTCCCTAAGCCCCCCCAAAACCCACAAGGAACGCCTGGCTACGCAGGCTAAATTCTAATAGGACGTGTACATTTGCATGATGGCGTTATTTTACTGTACCACTACCAAGATGCTTTGCGAATTTCTTTTCTTAATCGTATTCCCTCATGAGAATAGTAAGACAATTGGTGCTAATTAACTGAACAAAAGAAAGAGTGCAAGGAATTCTGGTAGTGGTAGTAAATGACGTCATAATGCAAGGTGACCTATTGGAATTTAGAAGTTGATTTTTGTGGAGGGAGGAAAACCTGAGAATCCCGGGAAAAACAGCAAAGGAGCATAGTAGAGAACCAACAACTCTACTCACATACAAAACCGAGTCCGAGAATTGAACCTGGGTTTCATCGGTGAGAGAGATATAATGAGAGATGTAATAAGATATATAAAGAGCTTTTCTTACTAGCTGATCACAGGTTGTGTATACGATAGCTGCTGATTTCTTACCAATGCAATCTGGGTTCTATGTCGTATGCGAGAAATATTTTAATGGTTCGCCCAACAGGTTTTATCTCTGAGCTTCGAGGAATTATCTTACTGATCCACAAAAATCAACTCGTAAATTACAATTCGGTATGGTTTTGAAGGTCATAAGCCTATTGGCTTGGGAGACTATGAGCAATCACTTCGGAACAATCGTGTTGGTACGCTAAATTACATTTAAGTTTGACTTTCGATAGGCCATCTACAACAAACAGTCACAAGCTGATATCATATCATTTTGCTAACAGATGTTAGCGAATCAATTCAGCGCAAAAAGGTCCCTTGGGGAAGGCTCTGCTGGATGGCAAACATTTTTAAAATGTTTCTTATCTTGAAATCAAAAGTATCTTATGAAGCAAAAAAAGGTATTTTGAAAAAGGCTTAGGATAATACATTAGTAATCCTGCAAAAGTTATTTAAGTAAAGTAAGTACGAATTTTTTGCCATCCAGTAAGAGACATGTGATTATTTCCTGCCAACGGCCTATTTAGTGATCATGTGAATGGACATGATGTATTTTTGCTTYCTTTAGATTGAGCCAGTCATATCCTCCGGTAACGACAGGGTGGTTCATCACATGTTGGTATATGAATGCAACCGTGATTTTCCTCGCTCAAATCTAAGCGTGAATGGACCATGCTACGCAAGCAACATGCCACCCGCTGTACAAGAATGTACAGGATCTTCTGTGATAGCATCTTGGGGCATTGGTGGTGGGGTAAGTTGTTGATTTTGTAAGAGAATATGATAGTTGGACGGACGGACGGACGGACGGACGGACGGACGG